TAATCATGATACACTTTGCACAGATTCCCGTTTTGTTGGACTTTCCTGTTTACATGTTTTGAAGCACTTTACCCACTGTTAATATTTTAAATCTTCCTGTTTTGTTGTAAATAAATGTTTACATGTTTTAAAGCACTTTACCTATTGTTAATATTTGAAATATGCCAGTTATGTTATAAATAAATGTTTAGATATTTAAAACACTTACTGCTTGATCCTTCCCCTGAATCTGTGTCTGGGATAACGGCTGGGGAGGGTTGGTAGGGGATCTCTGTGAGGGTGATGAAGAGCTCCTGGCTGTCGGGCAAATCAGCGCTGTCGACTGCCTCGTCCTCCTCATCTCCTTCCTCCTCTTCCCCGTCCGCTGAGGAACCGGCCGCGGACAATATCCCATCCTCAGAGTCCACGGTCAGGGGTGGGGTGGTGGTGGCGGCCGCACCTAGGATGGAATGCAGTGCCTCGTAGAAACGGGATGTGTGGGGCTGGGATCCGGAGCGTCCGTTTGCCTCTTTGGTCTTCTGGTAGCCTTGTCTCAGCTCCTTGATTTTCACGCGGCACTGCGTTGCATCCCGGCTGTATCCTCTCTCTGCCATGGCTTTAGAGATCTTCTCATAGGTCTTTGCATTCCGTCTTTTGGAGCGCAGCTCGGAAAGCACGGTCTCATCTCCCCACACAGCGATGAGATCCAAGACTTCCCGATCAGTCCATGCTGGGGCCCTCTTTCTAGTCTGAGATTGCATGGCCATCTCTGCTGGAGAGCTCTGCATCGTTGCCACTGCTGCTGAGCTCGCCACGGTGTCAAAACAGAAACTGCGATTCAAACTGCCCAGACAGGAAAAGGAATTCAAATTTTCCCGGGGTGTGGCTGGTCAGAGCATCCGAGCTCGGACTGCTGTCCAGAGCGTCAACAGAGTGGTGCACTGTGGGATAGCTCCCGGAGCTATTACCGTCGAATTCCATCCACACCTAGCCTAATTCGACATGGCCATGTCGAATTTAGCGCTACTCCTCTCGTTGGGGAGGTTTACAGAAATCGATTTAAAGAGAGCTCTATGTCGAACTAAATAGCTTCGTGGTGTGGACGGGTGCAGGGTTAATTCGATATAACGGCGCTAAATTCGACATAAAAGCCTAGTGTAGACCAGGCCTAAGATGTCAAATTGTGGAGTTACATTTCATGTCATTTTATCTCAGTAAGAAACAGGACTGAAACAAATAAGGGGGGAAACCTCCTGAACTGTTAAGCCTAACAAAAGCATGAACATTCATGCAGATATAACTTTAGGCAGTAAAATTCAGGTCAGCGTAAGTGGAAATGTAAATTTGGGGTGCTCTTCTACTTCCCCATGGTAACAGAGTTAAATATAGACAAGTTTCCATGGAAGTTATTATCACAGGATGGAACACTTTAGGAGCATCACCTTCTTGTTTTCTTCTGTACTACTGTATCAAGAGATCCTAAAGAGAAGTTTTTCAGATGGTAGCTTCCACGGGGGAGAGAGCATTCAGTGAGTTCACTGCCTATATGGGAGAGAAAATCTTTTTAAGAAATATGCTAAAATTTCTCTAGGCTCATAAAGGGAAAAGATCGCCACACTTCTTAACATTTGTTTAGTTAAGATGAGGGATTAGCTTGTTAAAATAAATTTAAAGTTGCTTTGATTTTTATTCTTTGCAGCTTATTAATAAGTTTTCTGGTTCATTTTACTGTCATCTAGCTCTAGAGCAGGAGGTGAGGGCTGGGTTTAGGTTTCTTTTTTTTAGTGGGAAGAAACTGCCAAACTACACAGTCTTGTGTTTGTGTTGCTGAGCTACTGATTGCTCTTCGTTGTGCTGTTTACTGCAGTTTTTGAACGTGCTATGTAGTCTATCCGTGGATCGTCTGATTTATTTTAGGATCTTCAAAGACAAGAAAAGGATGATTAATTTAGGCTGAGTGGGGAGCCTATCTACGGAGAGCCTTCACAACCTCACAATGGAACGTTTCTTACGTTTATTTTTAGGAAAGTTTGTTTTTACACTTTTTATTGAGTTTAAACAGTGCAGTGTTTCTTGACCGTGCCATACCCTGTCATTTCATGAAGCTTTGTTTAAAAATTTAAAATGTACTGCCTCAGTTCTTTTTTTATGCTATGTACTGGAACTTTTTTCTTTGACTGCAGTTAGTTCTTTAGGCCTTTAAATTATCTCTGTTTATAGCTAAATATAAGTTCCCCAGAACTCTTCATATAACACTCACAGATGTATGTACTGTATGTATATACAGTATGTATGTATAGAGTGTACAGTATAATGGAGCAGTTACCCTGAAGTGTGGAAACATTTTATAGCTTTTATGTGATAGGCTTTTTAAAGGCAGTTGCAAATATTATTTTAAGAATGAGATTTATGCAGTGCCTAAAGTATGTTTCTGTTCTGCAGGCCAAGCTATGTTGGTGCAGATGCTTTTGGCAGCCCTGACCCAATGCGGATCCTGGTGACAGCAATGTAAATGTGAATTTCTGCAAAGTCTCAGAAGTCCTGTAAAATGGAGGAACTGTACAAGGACACACAAAATCTGCCCATGGATGTTACCAACTCTCCTTCCACGATAGCTAACAATAAGCTAGAAAATGGGGTCGCTCAGCTGATAACTGCTGAAGCCTGGAATATCAACTCCACAGACTTGATGAAGAAAGCACTTTCACCACTTGTGACTGTCCCAGCCCCTTCGATCCTTACCCCACCAGCAGAATCGCAAAGTGGGGTAGCTCTGAAAGTAGCAGCCACAGTGCTCCAGCCAATTTGTTTAGGGGATAGCCCAGTGGTTCTTCCAATACACCTGCAAGTAGCCGGGAGCACCACCCCGCAGATTGCGCCTAATAACAACACTCCATATGTTATGACGACTCAAGGTCCAGTTCCACTACCTGTCCTCTTGGAGCAACATGTGTTTCAACATTTAAATTCTCCATTGGTGTTACCTCAGGGTGCTCCCTGCTCCACAAATCCCATTCACAGCAATCTTTTCCAGGGTTCTTCTGTCCCGGTTGGACAGCCCCAGTTACTGGATCAGAAACCATCCAACCAGACCCAGGAGCCCATCTTACCCCCAGTGTTTCAGACACCAGGATTTGCTGCAGTTCTTCAGGATTTGTTTCCTCCACAGGGCACCTTAGGTTCATCACCCTGTCAGCCACCCCCAGATTACTCCTCTGTTCCACCCCAGGCCTTCAGTTCCCCTCTATCTCCACTAGTACCCCCAGCCACCCTCCTAGTGCCATATCCTGTGATTGTCCCCTTGCCAGTCCCAGTCCCCATCCCTATCCCCATCCCCATCCCTGTGCCTCACGGCGCTGAATCCAAGGTCAACCCAGACTACCCCAAGCCACCATTGTTCACCTTGTATTCCTGCAAAGGCACCCAGACCCCTCTGGAGAAAGAAGAATCCAAACCCTTTGATTTCATCCACCACAGGGAATTTTCCCAGCTGAATCGTCACACAGTCATCAAGATGAACAATGAGAACGAGGCCCTGGATCTTTCCATGAAAACGATGCCCTTGCTAAAGGCAGGTGAGGTCAGTTCTCAGCTCTCCCCTGAAGATGGTGCTTTAGATTTGTCAATTGCTTCCTACAGGAAGACAGGCAGTGCTGGGGTCCATGCTGAGGCAACTAATGCAATTTGCTCTGGATCTATGATGGACAGTGCTGCTCACTCCATGATGGATAAACTCTCCAGTGCAACTGTCCCCTTTGCCCCTCCGAAACCTCACGAAGCCTCAGCCAAGGTTGACAGCAGAATGACTGGTAGCAATTCGGCCGAGTTCCTGAGACAGCAGCAAAAGTGGCTGGTGGATCAGACCAGCAGAGCAGCCTGTGAGCCCAAGGCTGGGAATAATATTGAGATTGTGAGCACTTCGCAGACTGCCAAAGTAATAGTCTCTGTCAAAGATGCTGTGCCCACGATTTTCTGTGGCAAGATTAAAGGCCTCTCGGGAGTATCCACCAAAAACTTCTCCTTCAAAAGGGACATGCCCCAGGACTCTGTTCTGCAGTGTTACGATGTGAAGAACCAGCCAGAGCCTAGGGATAATGCAGAAGCTCTTAGGAAACCAATCAAAAACAGGAGTGTAAAGTTAAAGAAAATGAACTCCCAGGAGATACACATTCTTCCAATCAAAAAGCAACGGCTCGCTGCCTTCTTTCCAAGAAAGTAAATGATGGGTTTTTAGACTTTTAAGATATAATTATTATTATGAAAAATAAAAAAGATGCACTTGGCTTAAAATGCATTTAAAACTTTAAACTATCTTTGTAAGTTATTTTGGGGAAAGCGGGAGAGGATTGGATGTAAATTTCCTGTAAAGCTGAGGGAGGGGAGTTCTTTTGTTTGTTTGTTTTTTGTTATTGATTTTTGACTTTTCATGAAAAAGTAAATAAAAAGCAACCTATTTTTCAAGCGGATTGCACATTTTTGCAGCTTTAATGGAATAATGGATGGAGTCAGAGGGGTAAGAGCTATTTTCACTGCCATAAAGTGCTTTGATGATGTAATTCTTAGTAATGGGTACAATGGAAACTTCAAAATAAATGTTTGTATGTGGTAATTGGTTGTGGTTATTTTGTCATTTATGAATTATCGGGGAAGATTTGGCAAAAGTCTGTAAACTGTAAAGCACTACAAGTTTATCTTTGTTATAGCCCTGAAATATTAAGGTGACCAGGCTAAGAAAAATTATATTGCCCCATAGCACCATTAGAGAGCACCTCTGAACAGCCACTAATGATGTGTTTCAACTATCTTCAATAAAAATGACAGAACAAGATCACTGTTATACTCTGGCATGAGCCCAATGCACAGAAAATACTAGTTTTATGATTAGAAATAAATATAGATCCGTTTTTAAACACAAAGTAAACACTAATGATGATTTTAATGAAATCTAAAAGTCAGGGGAATTTGGTTGCCACTGGGTGAGGAAAAGTCACATAATTTTTCCCAGCCTGAATATAGATATATGGAAAAGTTGTTCGTTGTAAGTTTGACCATGTCTTGATGGCTGAAATCAATGCACATGAAAGAGTAGAACAATGTAACTTTACAACATTACAGTGTAAAAGCCAGCCACGTGAATGGAGAAATGTGAATGTAAACTTAAAATAAAAATCTGCTAGGTGACAGTTGCGCTTGTATGTGAAAATGGGCTGGAGATGTATTATTGCATGTCTGCTTCTAAATGTACACCTCTTGCAGTTAAAATATATCCAGCTGTTAGAGTGAACCCGAGCGCAGGAAAGTTTTCTGATGGATGTCATAGTTTGAGTGCGAGGCCCCCTTGCAGTTTAGAATGTTCTTGTTTGGCTGTTCATAGCATGTGCTGCCACAACAGCACTGGCTCCGTTGAAATAAACATGAGATTGTAAACAAGCGAGCAGGGGTCTGTATCAGGTTTACTGGTCCTTACTCTGCAGGGTTGCAGCCAGCCTCTCGACTGCCAGTCTGCTCAGTCATTCTGCAATTTCTTGCATTAATTCCTGAGCACTGAGGCAAAGACTTTCAAAAGTTAGGCACCATTTTAAGGCACTGGCCTTTCTCCCCACCTCCCATCCCCAAATATTGAGCACGCAAAAGGACAGTGCCTAAAGATGACTTTAGGAAAATCTTGGACCAACCATGTTCTGGTTAAAAATAATATAGATGTTGCATTTTCATTAGTAAGGTAAGAAATCCTTTTTGCCTCTAATACCTTTTCCCTTTTCCTTGGCTAGAGTATTGCTGCTGTTGGTGCTTTATCTTCAATGCTATTTTGCTTTCTGTGGGGACCAGGAGCTTCAACATTCAGGACATGTTAGTGCAATATGTATGCTTGTTTTGTAATCAGTATCTTCTTTTTTTTAAGCTAGCCTTTTACTTTTTCTAAGGCTGGCTAAACGAAGTGTACAAAATAGTTTGAAGGATCAGCCACTCAGTTAATGTTTATTGATTCTCTTTTATTGTCTATCTGCAAATACTTTGCTTTCTTCCCCTTGGATACAGTTTTCATTAAATAAGAGAGGTGGATCTTGTGATTTTTGCAGTGTGCAGAAATAGGAGTTATGTTGTGTGGTATGAATGCTCTTTCCAATTGCTGCTTGCCCCTCTTCGTGTTTTAGGTTGGACATTTTCAAACTGCCAAGATCTTCTGAAAATTTAGCTCATTCCAACTGGGAGATTTTTAAAGAGGAAAGTCACAAAATCAGCTCCTGAAACATTTAGTTCTCAAATAATGCAAAGAAAAATAATCGGTGGGAAGAAACATGTATCAGATCAGTGGTACTTTCATATAGACCACGTGACCCTTGTTAAATACTGTCCTTGATTTCAAGTGAGCGAGTCCTAGCCATCAAGTTCCACCTCTTCACTCCAGTACTTCCTCTTAGCTATTGTGTTAGCAGTGCTGATCCTCTTTGCAGCCTGTTTAAAGAGGACTATGGTAACATGAACTACATTGGTTCACTTACATTGGTTTCCAGCTGGCTTATAGCAATGTAGCTTAATTCACTCTCAGTGGTTGTACACACAGGAAGTTTGGTCACCAAATTAAGCTAAATCAGTTTAAGCCAGTTGTAGATCATTGTGTGTGTCCATACAGAATTTTGACTAAATCAGTTTAAAACCAATTTTAGTTAAACTGGTGCAATTTATGTGTGTAGAAAAAGCTGTAATAGCATAGGATGTCTGCCAGGAATGATTTAAAAATCTAAACAGCTGAAATGTGACAACCACATCTGATATTAAATGAAAGACATTTTTCAAAATCCCTTTTAAAATATACCTTTTGCTTATCTGCAGCCCTCAGGAAAATGGCCTGTTTTCAAGTCTATGATTGGTTTTTTTTTTTAAATTAACAGATTGCCCTGAGTTAATCACTGATGTACCTGCTGTTACATTTGCTTACAGACCAGCAGGAGCAGCTCAACTGGATCACTTGCAAGTGGGCCGACAGTGGAGGAGTTCCCATGTTAAACTGCCTTGCCCTCAATGTTATTTTTTAAGCTACAGCCTCAGGTGGTGATGTTTGGAAGAGCATCTGACCCAACAGTAAGGGTTATTGCAGGCCACTTTATCCTCTCATAATCTGTCTGGTTTTAATCTGCGAAGGATACCATATTAAATACAAAAGGAGAGATGCTCCTTTCATACTTGCATTATTTTGAGCAAACTACACTATATTACAGGATCTTTCTATTCACTCCTCCTACCAGAAGTGTTCCAAAGCACGAGTAAAAGCGATACACATCGTACTCCTGGGGGAATTCTGCCCCCCCAAATTAAAAATTCTGTGCACAATATTTTAAAATTCTGCATATTTTATATTGTGTTATTTTGACAAATAATCATTCCAGTTTCAATTATTTTGGTAATTTCTTTCAAAATACCTGTCAACAAATATGTCAACAATACAAACAGCAGCGAAAAGGAGAGAGAGTTAAAGAAAACCCTACAATAACCTAGGTGAGGGGGCTGTGTGGGGCCCCCCAGAGCCCAGAAAACCCATATCTCTAAGTCGCCCAGAGACGAGCCATGGGGCAGCCCCCCGCCCCCCCCCCCCCCCCCCCCCCCCCGGGGGGCCCCCCCCCTCCCCCCCCCCCCCCCCGAGCCTTTACTCCACCCAGCTTCTTTACTGTCCCGCCAGGGGACGTGGTGTGGTGCGGCCCTGCCCTTCCTCATGCTTTGCCAGAGTTGTCTGGGTCTCCCAGGCCCTCGCCTGTCCCCGGGAGAATGAGGATCAAAGAGAGTGCAGCCTCCTGCCCCGGCAGTCTGGGCACTCCGCTCACTGCAAACTGGGCTCTGCAGAGTCCAGTGGCCCCTCGCGGTGGCCAGAAAATCTGCGGGGCAAACAGGGAATTCTGCAAAATTCTGCATTGCGCAGTGACGCAGAATTCCCCCAGGAATAAGATTGTTAGCATGGGGAAGAGGCAGCCACAAAACAAGGCACTTAATTATTCACACCCCCACCACGCCTCTTTAGTAGCAATTACAGTGTTGGTATATTGGCCCATTAATTATTGAGAGAGCTGCATTTTAAATACATCTAAAACTTTTGCATGGAACCAGGAAGCAGAGCTGTAGTGCTGATTTATGGGGAGTTCCATTTCTGGTAGCCGTTAATGGAGACATTAGTGCCTTTGTGAAGTTGGAATGAAAGTCATTCCATCAGCATGGCAAGAGAAGGTGGTTTTCTGAGATGCCTGTCTGCGTCCTATTTAAGCTCTTAGAAGGTATCAGCATGTGTTCCTCACTCTCCTTTGGAGCCTGTGTGCATTTCTGGACATTTTTCCTTCCTCATTTTTCATCTTCTTGCCTTTTAATTCCTCTCTTCAAATTTTCGAGTAGATACCATCACTCAGGGAAGGCCGTAGGTTAGGGCTTGCCTGCACAGAGAAATTAGTGTGGCTTAAGTTAGGGTGTGAATGGAAAGCACATTACCTACTCCATACTAAATCGCCATGTGGCCATTCTCACTCTGCACTGAGTGCCTTTGTGTGCTTTAGCTGAATACACTTTGGAAGTGTAGGCTCCAAAGGCACACACAGTGCAGAGTAACCGTGTCCACACAGCCCTTTAGTATGGAGTAGCTAGCTATGCCAGCCTTTTTCCCAGACGAACCCTTAGTGGTAAAGCATGTATTAGGGCCTGAAAAAATTGGGGGTTGGGCTCTGTTGCTAGCTTCAACAGTTGGGGTCTGGCACTGAGCCTGCTTTGGCCCACTGAGTCTTAGCCTGAAGCAGTCATTTTGACTACATTCCCCAAAGAGAGCTGCCTTGGAGATTCATTAATTGGATAGGGAGTCTTCGAGGTAACTTCTACCCAAACTGTTAAGTGGCCAGTAGATCAAGGCTAGGCTCCTATATTCAGGCAATGGTGCAATGTGTTCATGCCTCCTTTTGCTGGGTAGTAAATGTGCTACGCACGAGCTTCAGCTTCCAGATGATGTTCATATTCATTCCATGGTAGAGTAAGTGAGGTGGCCTAATCAGGAGTTAACACTCAAGTGGATGATGAGTGGATGGCAAGGTCTTAACTGCAGAAAAAACAACTGTATTTTCCTGGGCAAAGGAAGTACGAAGCATTCCTTGCCAGGTATGTGGTGTGGAATCCACCATGACCGTGCGGATACTGTAAAAGTGTCATGGTGGCCTTGAAATCTATGAATCTATGTGCAGAATGGTACAGAGCTATTTGACTGACTTACGCTTGCAGCCAGACCAGCTGATCCCTATTAGCTTCAACCCAGCATCTAAAAAGGGTTGTGATGCACTTCTGTGACTAAAGCTAACTAGGCACAGGGACAGGAAGCCTTCAGGGAGCACCTTAGAGACAGCCAACTGCAAATGGGAAGTTAGTTAAGTTAACATAGGAGACCAAAGGTAGGGCATAAGGTTAGGCCTGAGTCAGTGTGTGCATGCTGTTACAAGCAGAGTGGAATGCAACATTCCAGTAAGTTCTTCAAATGTCTCCCTTCTCGCTCAGCAAAATCACAGCCGTCCTCCCACAGAAGAGTGATCCAGGTGGTTGGCGTTATCACAACACGTTTAGCATAACATTTTGGCGCTGACTCATACGGTCAAGTTTGTTTTCTCACACAGCACATGTTACACTCTGCTCCCTGCAGGAGAACTGCTTGGCTGTTGTTTGAAGTGAAGGATAAGAGGAGTATTCCAGCCGTGGCCTCGCTCCCTCCGTACGGTGGGGGGAAAGCTGTTCACTCATCTCTTCTTATTCCACTTGCAGCTATACCACTACCACCTACTGTCAGGTACATAAGTTAGGGCAGGGCCAGGCCAGCTGTGGAACTCCTTACCAGAAGAGATCAGATGGGACTATGCCAGCTGTGAAATCAGACGCTCTTACCAGAATAGGTCCAACATAGCCCAACCTGGGTCTGGGGGAGAGCTGCAGGTGGAGTATGTGGAACTGTTTAAATGACCACACTGGTCACGTTAGTACTTAGTAGGGTAAGGCCTGCCAGAGGGGTGTCACTCTGATCTGGTATTGAACCAGTGCTAGGCATTCAAAAGCTCTGGGTCCTCTGCTTGTACCATTTCTCTGAGGAGCTGTAAATCCAAAGAGTTTAC